GAAATTTCTTCAGCAATCTTTGCAACTTGCTGAATAATACTATTTTGTTTAGAATTGTTGCTATCCGACAGAAGAAATTGGTGAAAGTGTTAGCTATCGATGTATGTTGAATTCAGTGTACAAAACTCATATCTACCGACAACGTGGGGTAAGCATTTAGTATAGTTTTACGTAAAGTACACTTCTTGTATTGAATATGCTGAAGCGTAAGTGTAAATGCAGTTACTTGCCAAATCCAGAGAAAGCATGAATTTCTTTTTATGGAGGAACCTTTCGATACTGCGTTTTCTGGATTTTCGTATTGTGTACAGATACATATATGCGCTTCAAATTGACTTTAATATGTGCTTATACTGGATCTACCAATGTTTAGTTCTTTTGTCGCTAATCTGTAAAAAAAAATCTTGATTTAGACGCGAGAAAAAAGCATACAGAAACTGGTAGCTCGAACAATTGTTTGATTCCGTTTTTTTTTTTGATTCTGCGAAAGATTCTTCATGTGGTAATTCGGAGACCTCCTTCTTTTCTATAAAACCGCTCCATTGTTTTTTATTTAGGTTAAGTACGAGATTGGTCCTCTATGTTGGCCTTACGAAGAACCACGAGTGGAAGATAATTACAGGAATGTAGCCCCTGGTGAGCTCTAAAATCATGTTTTCACATCAATTTCAGCGTAATGATTTCTTAGTCTTACGGTCAACTTCTCATGTCTCAGGTAATTTTGAATGCCGTGCGCGTTGTATTCGTTTGCAATCTTTTCTATGTAAAGCTAACCTAACACAAGTTTTGCTTTGCTGTGCATTCTTTTTAGCTATAGTGTTCAAACAACTCATTTCAGAAGTATCTACAGACACTTGGATACCCGGCGACGTGCCTGTGGAAGTATTCTACAACCTTCGGTCTTTGACTAGCTTTGAGATAACTGATCTAACAGATTACAAATTTGATTTACTTCTGACGCCTCCCTTAGGATTTAGTTACAAATTTATTGGAGCTGGGCAAGTGTCGTTGCCGATCAATCAGACCTGGAGCTTTCATTGACAGTTGCCTTATTGAGTAGTAGTGTTCGTTTCTTTATCTTTTTGCCCAACTGAGAGCCGATTTTTCATCTGCTTTATTCTTTTTGTTATTTAGAGAAAGTAGTAAGTGGTTTTTGCGATGTAATCATGCAGTCTTTCCCCGTATGTATAGGGTAGAACTAGAAGGGTTACTGTGTCGTGGAGGACTCTCTCAAAGTGTTGGAAGTGTTTTTTCTAGATTGGAAAGCTTCCAGTTTTTTTTT